GTTCTTTCCCACCTCAATGTCACTCCTCACCTTCCCTCCTGAACTTCAAATGCACAAATGGAGCTGCAAACGGTTATTATCTGGAGCATTTGAGGTTTTGCCCCCCCCCCCTCAGTTTTCATCACTTTGGCTCCAATAAAAATTTATAAAATATCTCTACATGTTAGGACATTTCTTATACCAAAGTATTGCCTTTTCCTCATTTACAACATACATTCATACACCTGTTTTCTCTGTGTGGAGGGGGAAGTTCACACAATTATTAAAAACCTGCCACCTGGACAGGGTGAATTAGTTCTAAAGAGTTCGCACCCTTTGGTGTGGGCACCGATGCGCCAACCACTGAGATCCACCAGCCAGGGTGCATGTGTAAACGATGGAATTCTCCCAATTTGAGGGGCTGGGAAACAGGGCTTTTGCACACGACCAGCAGGAAGTTGAGTGAAATCTGTGGTTTGGGGAGGCAGCTGTGTGCTTGTGGCAGGGACAGCAGTTTAGAGACAGAAGCTGCGGCCATAGTCTCCAGCCCAGCCTCTCCTGCCTCCTCACCTGTAGAGGTTCGAGTTATCATAGGGGCAGGAATAGAATGTGGGGAACCGGCTAGAATTGTACGACATGGTCATCCTGCTCTGGTCCCAGTGATTGTTTATTCTGATTGGAGAAGGCACCTTCTAGCCTGGCTGGCAGCCGCACTGGGACCTGGGAGCTCACCTGGAAGTGCAGCCCCTCCTCCCCATTTGGAGCTGCCGGTCATCCCGGAGATGAACAACTTTCCTGCAGGAACCAGCCCACCAGCCCTTGAAGGTCCCAGCCCTCTGCTCTCTGTCACCTGCCCCTTTGGCAGAGCCTTTGGCTACTTCCCTCGTAATCTTCTATCCTTTCACTCAGTATAAGCAGCTGGCTTATGGGGGCTGCAGAGCAAATTTTACTGGGTGACCTGCTGCTCCCCCATATTGCGGGAATTATTGGAATGAATGCCTGTATATGATTCACCCCTGTCTCTGCTCATTAGGCTCAAGTAGTGACAGGTAGCACAGACCATGCACTGTCCGATTACAAATTTGTGTGTGTAAGTTGTGATTGGGGACAACAACAAAAAGAACCTTTCCGTTTCAAAATAAAAGCATCATCCAATGCAAATTCTTATTCCCAAACCCCAGAAAGGCAACATGGCCCACGGTGGGTGAAGGAGAGCGAGAGGAAGGCCCATCCACGCGCCTCTGGGGGAGCACCCCTGGGTCCTCATCAAAACTCCGAGGAAGAAGGACTCTCAATCCTGGAAGCTGCCCCCAAAGGACTGGGATCAGGATGACAGGTCTCCGGAAAAGTGGGAGGAAGTTGGGTCAGAACTGGACCGTTTGTGGCCAGGTTCCTTGAGTCCTTTCCCATCTGGGGTCTCCCCTAGGATGACAAGGTCAGGCATGCATCCCAGGGTCCCAGCTGCACCTTATATGCAGACTCCATGCAAATCGGGCTCTACTCCTGCTCATAAAAGGAGGCCCTTGCCCGGCATGTTGGGGAGACACCCAGAACCCAAGCGCCTGAGACAAGACACCAGCGGCTCCACCATGGACTTGGTGCCAAGCTGCGTTTTCCTCCTGATCATTTCTCAAGGTCATTCTCAGGAGTGGGGAACGCTGAGACCTGTGCCTGTGCCTGTTGGTGCTTCCATGTGATTCTCAGTCCACCTTGTGTTTCTGTGTTTGCAGGTGTCCAGTGTGAGGTGCAGCTGGTGGAGTCTGGGGGAGGCCTGGTGCAGCCTGGGGGGTCTCTGAGACTCTCCTGTGCAGCCTCTGGATTCACCTTCCGTAGCTACGGAATGAACTGGGTCCGCCAGGCTCCAGGGAAGGGGCTGGAGTGGGTCTCACCCATTAGTACTGGTGGTGGTAGCACTTACTACGCCGACTCTGTGAAGGGCCGCTTCACCATCTCCAGGGACAATGGCAAGAACATGCTGTACCTGCAAATGAGCAGCCTGAGAGCTGAGGACACGGCCATGTATTACTGTGCAAGAGACACAGTGAGGGGAAGTCAGTGTGAGCCCAGACACTAACCACCCTGAGGGAGACAGTGGGTCTGGTGCTCCGGACCTGCAGGGCACGCTCAGGACCCACAGCACAGAGAGCAGTCCCAGGTGCTGGGGCAAAAGGAGGTGGGAGGGAAGGGCCTTCCTGTTGGGCTCAGGGATTTCCTCTCAAACTCTCAGCTGCCTCCAGGGACAGCTCCTGCTCTTTCTCTGAGGCTCTCATTTCCTGCTTTTTCACTTCAGAACCCAGAGGAGGGGGTCACACTGCTGCTGGCAGAGGACATGTGGGCAGTGATGGGGACTCTCCTCACCACGTGTCTGCATTTCCTGCTTTTCTTTCTCCACAGAGACCATCCTCAGTGCTTCATCGGCCTGTGGTTGGAAAGTTTCCCACCAAGAGAGACCCCAGCACAGCCCAGGCCCCTGGGTGCTGAGCTCGGGGTCTGACCCACATGCCCACCTGTCCCCATAGGGCCCTTCCTTCTGACAGGCCCACAGTAAATAAAACAGGTGGGTGTCCTGCGGACAGTGGAAGCTGGATGGACCCATCTGAATGGTGCAAAGGGCCCTTGAGGACTGCTCCCTGGTCACCTCCCCTGTACAGGTGCCAGGACTTGCTGTTTCTGGTGCCACAGGAAATGACCTCAGCTCTCTCCCCATAGGTGTCACACCAGCACTGATGTGAGATGACAGCAGTGTGTGTATCCCGTGTCGTGCAGTTTCATAGGGACGTTTAACAAGATTCATTGGAAATCATCTCATTTCAACAAGCAGCTGCCTTGGGAAATCTCTTGGTGAAGGAGACAGCTTTACAGTTTTGCAATCTTTTTTACTTAAAATCATGGGCTAAAGTTTGACATTTCATAATGATGGTGTTGGATCCTCTGTAGATCAGTCCTTTGAGGACTCAGACGGGATAATAACCCAGGTAGAGGCTGCTTGTGGGGCATGTGTGAAGAAGCAACCAGCACAGCTAGGGTTCAGGATCTGGAGAAGGGGCTGACACACAAATGAAAGCACTAGACAAGAAATATGAATTTAGAAAATTATGGGGGAGCCAGTTGGAAACTTCCCTTTAGCAGAGAAGCTCCCTGAAGCCCTGGACCTGTTAGCTTTTATTCATCTTAGATACACATCTTTGCCCTCAGTTAGGCATGGCAAGCCAGTAGCAGACACACTATCTTTAAGGTCAGTAAACATTAGTAAAGATTTACTTTGAGTCTCTTAGGTCCGGAAATTGCTTTGAGCCACCACTATCTCGGCAGTACAATCGGTGCATAGCTTTAGCCCTTGCTAAAGCTCTAGGTTCATCAGTCTTCCGAGTTCCTTGTTGCACTTTCATGATAGTGCTTGACAATGGAAAGCTTCCAGCAGGCATGTTAATCTATCACAGAATTTTGCCAGCCTCCATGTCATAGTTGCTGGAATGACTAAAACTTCACCACACTCACGTCTGCAGGATGGAGTAGACCTCCCACACTTCCCGCCTTGCTCCTTTGGTGTGTTTCCAGGAGCCATGAGAACCCACTGTGTCAGCAAAGTTTCCCCAAGTCATGTACTTCTCCCTGACCTCTGTGTGTCTCCCCTGTACCCCCTCCTGATTGACGGTTCTGGTGACTACAGAACCTTTCACCATCAGGAATGGGATTTGGTGAAACACGAGCTGGTTCTTTGAAAAGATAAAAAAGATTGATAAACCATTAGGCAGACTCATCAGGAAACAAAGAGAGGGGACCAAAACAAATAAACTGAGAAAGGATTGTGGAGACTTAACAACCAACACCCCAGAAAAATAAAGGATTGCAATAAAGTGCTATGAACAACTATATGCCAACAAGTTGGACAATGTTAATGAAATGGACAAAAACCTATAAAAACTTCAACAGGAAGAATCATAAGACCTGAAAAGGCCAATAACAACTGAGGAAATAGAAGCAGAAATCCAAAAACGCCTAGAAAAAAAGTCCTGGCCTGAATGCCTTCACAGGGGAGTTTTACCAAATATGCAAAGAAGAACTAACACCTATACTCCCCAAACTATTCACAAAAAAAACCCCAGAGGAAGGAACACTTCCAAACTCTTTTTATGAGCCCAGCATTATCCTAATACCAAAACCAGGTGACACTCCTAAGAAAGATAATTACAGGCCAATATTCCTGATGAACACAGATGCTAAAATCCTCAAAAAATAATAGCAAATTGGATACTGCAATGAATCCCATGACCAAATAGGATTCATCCAGGGATGCAAGGCTGGTACAGTATTCACAAATCAATACAGATGATACATCACATAAACAAACTGAAAGACAAAAACAATATGACCATATCCATAGATTCAGAAAAAACATTCGACAAAACCCAACACCCACTTTTGATAAATACTCTCGGCAAAGTTGGAGAAGAAGACTCATATCTCAACACAATAAAGGACACATATGACAGACCCACAGCCAGAATCATCTCAATGAGCAAAAACAAAAACCATTTCCCCTAAGAAACGGAACAACACAGAAATGCACGCTTTCACCTCTCTTATTCAACATAGTACTGGAAGTCTTAGCCACAGCAATGAGACAAGAAGAAGTAATAAAAGGCATCCAAATTGGAAAGGAGGAAGTAAAACTCTTATTATTCATAAAACACATGATATTGTGCAAAGAAAACTGACAGACTCCACAAAAAAACACACACACCTATATTTAACAAATGAATTCAGCCATGTAGAAGGATACAAAATTAACACCCAGAAATCAATGGAACTTTTATGCACCAATAATGAATTCTCAGAAAGGGATACAAATCATAGCCGGTGTGGCTCAGTGAATAGAGCGTCAGCCTGTGGACTGAGTGGTCCCAGGATTGATTCTGGCCAAGGGCACATGCCCGGGTTGCAGCATGATCTCAACACGGGGGTGTACAGGAAACAGCCAACCAATGATTCTCTCTCATCATTGATGTTTCCATCTCTCGCTCTCCCTACCTCTCTGAAATCAATAAAGAAATACATTTTTTAAAAAGAAAGAAAGAAAGGGACACCAAAACAACAATCCCATTTACCATTGCATCAAAAAATTATGATACTTACGAATAAACTTAACCAAGCAGGTAAAAGACTTGTACTCAGAAAAATACTGGATATTGAATGAAGAGATAGAGGAAGATATATGCAAGTGGAAAATAATACCAGGATCATGGGTTGGTAGAATTAACCTCATTAAAATGTCCATATTACCCAAAGCACTCTACAGATTCAATGTAATCCTATTAAAATAGCAACAGCATATTTCACAGATCTACAAAATACTCCAAAAATTTATATGGAACCAAAAAAGACCCCAATTAGCCATAGCAATCTTGAGAACAAAGAACAAAGGTGGAGGGATCACAATCAGATATCTAATTATATTTCAAAGCCAAAGAAATTATACTTCAAAGCCATATCTAATTATACTTCAAGGCCTGGTACTACCACAAAAACAGGTATATACATCAATGGAATATAACAGAGAACCTACAAACCTACCCAAGCCATTACGCTAAATTAATATTTGACAAAGGAAGCAAGAGCATACAGTGGAGTCAAAACAGTCCCTTCAATAAATATTGCAGGAAAATTGAACAGAAAAAAAGTGCAAATAAAACCAACACACCGAAACAATACATGAACATATACCATACAGAAGTAAACTCAAAATGGTTAATAGACCTAAATGTGAGTATGAAAACCATAAAAATCTTAGAAGAATCAATAGGCAGCAAAATCTCAGACATCTCTCATAGCAATGTGTTTACAGATACATCTCCAAGGACAAAGGAAACTAAGGAGAAAATAAACAAATGGGAATACATCAAAATAAAAAGTGTCTGCACAGCCAAAGAAACCATCAACAAAATGAAAAGGGAGCCCACAGTAGGGGAGAACATATTTGGTAAGGATCCATGTGATAAAGGGTTAATATCCAAAATGTATAAGAAACCCATACAACTTAACCAAAGGAAGACAAACAATCCAATTAAAAAATGGTCAAAGGACCTAAATACACACTTCTCCAAAGGGAACATACAGATGGCCAAGACACATAGGAAAAATCCTCAAAGTCACTGACCATCAGAGAGATGCAAATTAAAAGGACAATGAGGTATCAGCTCACAGCTGTCAGAATGGCTACCATCAACAAATGACAAGTGCTGGGGAGGATGTGGAGAAAAGGAAAGCCTCATACTCTGCTGGTGGGAATGCAGGCTGGTGCAGCCATTATGGAAAACAGTATGGAGTTTCCTCAAAAAATTAAAGATGGAACTGCCATTTGACCCAGTGAAGCCACTTTTAGGAATATATGCTAAGAGACCCCAAACATCACTTAGAAGACTGGCAAAGAGACAAATGACCAATATCAGAAATTAATTAAGAGAATAAACACATTCCCCACTGCATTCTTATGAGACCGGCATTCCTTGTGCAGTCAGTACAGAGAAAGACTAAACTACAGACTGAAATCTCTTGTTAACATATTTACTAAAATCCTCAACAGAAGAAGAGCCAATCCTACCAGCAATATAAAAAACTCACACTCCATCATGACCAAGCAGGAATTATCCCAACAATTCAAAGATGATTCAACATTTTTAAATCATCCGATGTAATCCGACAGGTCAACTGTGTAAAGAAGAGAAGTCACATGGTCATTAAAATTGATACAGAAAAGTGTGTACAAAGCACAACTTCATTCATGATAAAACGCTTAGGGCACTTGGGATAAAGGGGCCCTTCCTGACTCTGATCATGGGACTCCTGGAGCTGATGTCACACTCGGTTGTGGGAAGTTACATGATTCCCCTCAGATGGAGACAGAGTCAAAAAGGCCCACTCTTACCACTTCTATTCAACATGGTCCTTGACGTGTTAACAAGAGCAATAAGACAGGA